GATCGAGTCCAGCCCGGGGTAGTCACATGTGGTTGCCGCAAGCCCGCCGGCCTCCGCTCACGCAAGCCGGCTCTTTTGGAAGGACACGACTAGAAATCAGTAGTTAAGTTGTATTTACAACACTGTTCCAGAACATTCATATGTGGAAAATAATGTTTTTTTTTTTACCTTAAACCGCATAAACACATTTCATTACACCAAATACACAAAATAATGTTCTTTTTAGCAACATCATATGACCCCTTTAAAATACCTTGAATGTTTAAATTGGCAAAGAAACACGTACAAGTGATAAACTTTAACTCTATGATGGTTAAACCTTTGCAAGTAATCCGCGAATCATGTGCCAAATCGTGTACATTTGATACTATTGAGATAAAACTTAAATGCTTCAAGCTGGAAATATTTTGATCAATAATATTAAATATTTTCACTAACAATATCGCTCCATAGATGCGTTAGTGGGAATTTGATATTAGCTTCATTGTGAGCCAATGTAATCTGCACAAGTGGTATTGATATAATAATATTAGTTTTATATCGCATTCATCTAAAAGACACATTGAGCAAAACCAGTCCTGCTAGGATCTCGGTGGGTAGTCAGGAAAAGACCAACAAAAGATTCCAGTGTGCTCCTCAAGAAAAAGAGGCCTAATTACCTGTCTGTACCAACCACAAACTCAAAAGACAACAGCAGCATTAAGTGAAGGGAAAACAAATCAGAAGGAAATTAGTGAAAGCGTAATTGGAGGGAAAGAGGGGAAAAATTAATAACAGAATGATGATCTATGTAATCGTCCCTAGATAGGTCAGCTGTGGTATTGTGGTCAGGCTGGAACACTTGTGCTTATGTGAAACCTCAAAGAGTTTTCAAGAGCTCTTTAACATGTTCTTACAACAATCAGTGAGAAAGCACCTGCACTTTTCATCTCTTGCTGATCTGTGAAATTTCGACACATTAATTTTGAAGACAGAGTAGAATAATTTGTTGTCAAAATACAATACATTTAGCATCTAAGCAGACAAACAAGAGGAGGAGTAGGCTAGGTTAAAATCCTGTTTTGCACCCATGTATAGGTTGGCATTGTAAACATGGCAGTTTTAGATATTAGAGCATATATCGTCCTCCACCTGCAGGGACTCAGAGGTTAATACTTCTCTTGTGGTTCTCCTCTATCTCCATCAGGGATATGTAACACCAAGAGGGCAGTGTGGGTGTGTTCCAGGTGTATAATGTGGTATAAGTAATAAAGTTTTGGGGGTTTTGCTACCAAAATCTACCACAGTCTCTAGTATCTCATTGTTTGCATATAACGTAACAAGCCCGTGACAAAAACTACTCTTCGTTTTTGCAACAAGAGACTTCATAGCTCGTCTGTTGTTATCGCTCTAAAAAAAAATAAAAAAAGTATTTTGGCGCCATCTGGTGGCCGTAATGCCACTGTTTCACCTATTAACATATGAAAATTTTTTCACAGAATAAAAATGACACATTGATGTGAGTCTGACATAACAGATGTTTAATTGTATTTGGAGAAAGCAATATTTCAAAACATTGCAGACAGTTTTCCAAGGTCTGATAATGAGTCATATATTTTCTATTCTGTGGCATTGCCATAAGTTCAAAGTCAGATTGTGTGCAGTTTGTACTGTGTCATCACACTAGACACTACTTAAAGGCAATGCATGCTTGGATATCTCAACTGCAGCTTTGATTGTGGTGAAAACTTCGTTTTATGCAGAAGGACTGAATGAACAAGTGCTGATGATGTTCATGTCTTGGACACTGATCACAGCAGCACAAGTCTGCAGCATTTTGCTAATTTATTTATAATTTAGTATTATGCATGTAGCATTTAATTCAGAGAGTACATGGAATATTTGCACTTTTAAAAAATAATGTCACACCTTCATTTAAAATGAAGTAGCGAGGCAAAACATGATTAAATATGTTTAAAAAATGGAAAGAATTAGTGGACAGATACAGAACTTGAGATATTTTTTCATTAAACATTCAACCATAAGATAGTCATAGGGCACATTATTTAACTGTTTTATGCAGTGTCATTGGTTGATGACATGCTGTTGATTGAGATGTGAATTGTATTTTAGTGCAGCTCCTCGCACAAAAATACTTGTAAAGCTAGTAATTCCAGTTTTTTAACAAACACATAACCAGAGAAAACATTTCTTGGTTAAAGAGCACAGACTACATTCAAAACCTTAATAAAACAACTATATTTGTAGCATCTCCAGCAGAGACCTGACCTATAAAATAAACCTCATTTAAATACGGCAACCTACAAATCCTTGTCATTTTGTCCTGATGCTGCACACAAATACGTTTCTATAAAAATATTACATCACAAGCTTGAACTTTGTACAATATCCCATAGGACTATCATTCTTATTAAGAAAATGTGCAAGACAAAAAAAAAAAATTTCATTGTCATTAAAAATCTCTCATTAAGTGCATTCCTTTTAAGCCACAATGTGCACAAACTTACTTGTTATAATATATATACTGTTCCTCTAATCTCTGTCCCACTGATTCCCTGAAAGAAGCTTTTCTTCATTCGGATGACTGGCTACAGTCTGTGTTGTAATAGTTATGATTGTGAAAATGCATTGTTGCAAACAACACTGTATTGCAACACAAACTCTGTACTGAGGTTATCATCATTTGCACAACCCACATCGTGTCCAAAGTATAACAGATCACATTCAGTTCATGGAGAGGATCTCCTCTGCTCCGTCTTCAATAAGGCATCATCACTTAAAATAACTGAGCATATTTAAGTTATCAATATACGTATATCTCTTGATGATAAATTATAGGATTCATTGTAGTCACAGCAGTGGTGATTTGTCATGCAAGGGGCTGATGGGAAATGTAGTTCCGTCACCGAAAAAGCAAGCAGAAGGTGGGGAGTGGGAGAATCTAAAAGCAAAGTTTCATTTTCATGCAGGATTTTGGAAATTCGCCCATCTCATTCAGAAGCGGAAACAGTCATTAGCTTCGTCTGGGCAGTCAAAGTTGATTCCTTCACGCAAGGAGTCCTCAAAAAATAGAAAAAAAAAATGATCAAGGTAAAGTTAAACATAAGGAGAGTATTAGGATCTTTAAGTACCAGAATGCTTCCTTCAGAAACTATCTAGACCACTTCCCATTTTTTATTTAAAACAATTCAACTCTTTGAACTCTTAAGTGATCACTTATGCTCACAGTATATAAATGATACTTTCACTTGGTGTAACACTTGGTTTCACTTGGCTTTTGAAAGGGTAAATAGGTTTATCTGAAAAGATATAATGTCACAACCCTATGACAACTGGAAAACATGCGTCTACAGAGTTCTGCTTTAGAGCATTTGCATAATTCGGTCACTCATCACAATCAAGCCACAATCTACACATATAAAAACATGTGATTTAAACCTCTAACGTAAATGCAAGATAATCGAGAATCATCATACAATCATCACAACAGCACATGGTTTGTGACATCGCACATACACCGAAAACTACTTTCTAAAAATGCAATGGGGTGAAAAAGCTTTCAAACTCATGGGATACTCACAGATGACTGCCAACCACATGAGACTGTGAAAATAGAGGGAGAAGGATGAAGAGGAGGGGAGGAAGAAAGAGGAGAGACAAATATGGAGAACTGAGGCCCAAGGACAAATTGGCATGTTCAGAGACAGAGTAAAACATGGACATTACTGAAGCACATCACTTTGAAGAGATTTACCCCAAAATATGACGATTCTGTCATCATTTACTCACCCTCATGTCATTCCAAACCATATGACTTTTGTTCTTCTGCAGAACACAAAATGAGATGATATGCTGCTGTATCTATACAATGAAAGCTAATGGTGACCAGGGTCAGCTTGATCTGTGCATATTTCTCTCCTGATTCAGACAAGACAACTTTCTAAGTGGAAATGCAATATTATTATTTTTTAAAGTTATATTTATGGTCTTTTTTGCCTTTATTTGATAGGACAGTAGAGAGCAGACAGGAAAGACAAAAAACAAGCTCAGTCATGTGCATCTTGGATGAGCAAATCTTCAAGTTCATTGGGTGAACTATTCCAAATTTTACTAACCATTTTTGGTCACCATTCACATTCATTGTATGGAAAAGAGCAGATATGTTTTTCCTTTTATGTTCCATAGAAAGAAGTACATCATGCATCTTTGAAACAACCATGAGGTTGAGTAAATGATGACACAATTTTAATTTTGGGGTGCACATGAAACAAACTGGCAACGAGAAAATAATTCACTGATTCTGATCTGGTATTATAGAGAAAAAAGACTTCATAGAAAGTCTAAAAGAGAAGGAAAACAATTAGATGTTGTTGTTATAAAGTTAAGTAAGATAATGCCAATTAGTTAGCCGGTAACTGTTAGCTGGTAAGTTATGATTATTGTATGATCTGTGGTGAGCACCCATACAGAACAACAAAAAAGAATCCCAACCTGAACAAAGAGTTAGCAAAGAACAAAAAAAAAAAAAGAATGAGACTGCCAAACTGAAATCACTCATGCAGTTAGCACAATCAGTACTGGGTGTGACAATCAGGGGTGATTCAGAACACCAGGGTGAGGGTGGGTTAGTGTCAGGACATCACTGGGTCAATCGAGTCTGACACTAACTTGGCTTTGCTGAAGCAGCAGCGCCCCGTCTGGCGAGTCGGGGATGTGCAGGGTGGTGGGGGAGGGGGTGAGGGGCAGCCAGGGCCGGTTGCCAGCGCTGTAGAGGCGGGGCCGCTTAACCTGGTCATGACTGGAGAGGGGGGTGTAACTATTCCGCCTTAGCAGAGGGGCGGAGTCTCGTCTGACTTTCCCCTGGTTTGAGATGGGAGAGACTGGCTGGGTTAAAACAGAGACTGCCTACACACATAGCTCATCTTTAGAGAACTTTAGCACACATCTCAATAGCAAACAAGACACTTCAGTCTTCAGTCTCCACCAAACAATCAAGTGACATGCTAGCTGCAGGTATTCCCAAAGATAATCTATATTTATCCATATACAGACTAAAAAGTATAATAAATCACTCCAGTTTAACATTACAAAACATCAAACGTATCAATGCAGTGATGAAACACACATCACTAAAACACAATGTCGTTTAATGGAGCGTTCAACCCACGAATAAGCATAACTCACAACACAAACCCACAGTTACAATACAACACAGGCTGCTGGCACATCATAGCTAAAATTCACACACACACACACACACACTTGCGTTTGTGGTTTACGTGGACTCTCCATAGGCGTAATGGTTTTTATACTGTACAAACTGTATTTTCTATCGCCCTACACCTAAACCTACCCTTTACAGAAAACTACAGGCAATTTTTAAATTTCATAAAACACAGTTTTTTATGTTTTTTAAGCCTTTTGATTTACGGGGACACAGGAAGTGTCCTCATAAACCATGTTTACGTTGTAGTACCCATGTCATTAATTATACACATTTGTGTCCTCATAAACCATATATACCAGTACACACACACACACACACACACACACATGTATTTCACAAATGTACAATTATTATTCACAGTCAACAACATATAGAGGGGAGCGCTGAACCTCACTCTGATGAGGTGAATAAGCACAAGAGGAAGAAGATTTATGTTTAATCAAACCTTTTGATTGACAGTTTGATTAAACCACAGAGAACATAGCTTAAAGGGGTCATATGATGCGATTTCAATTTTTCCTTTCTCTTTGGAGTGTTACAAGCTCTTTGTGCATAAAGAAGATCTGTAAAGTTGCAAACACTAAAGTCTCAAAACAAAAGAGATATTCTTTATAAAAGTTAAGTTAACCACGCCTACCTAAAACGGCTCGTTCTAACACACCCCCACATACCTACGTCACGATCTCGGAAGATTTGCATAACGCTTCCCAAATGTTCACGCAAAGAGAGAAGGCATAACTTTTATTCTCGCTGTAGTATTGTTGACGCTGCAGCCATGTCCTGAAGACGCTGTGTGCTTCGTTGTGAAAGCGAAACTACTTTGTTTGACCTTCCAAAAGAGGACGATATCTGCTTCGTCATGCCTTGGATATCTGGCCAATCAGAGCACACCTCGCTTTTCAGACCGATTAGTTTTGTAAAAATCGACGCGTTTCAAAAAGGCGGGGCATAGAGGAGAAACAATAATGTACAGTATGTGGAAAATAATGTGTTTTTTGAACTTTAAACCGCATAAACACATTTCATTACACCAAATACACAAAATAATGTTCTTTTTAGCAGCATCATATGACCCCTTTAAAGGAATGTTATGGGTTAACAAGTTAAGCTGTTACCACAGACAAAACTTTTGACCCGTTATCGAGTTAAAAATAACCACAATTACATTTACAGCAATGCACTTAGAATCAGTGTTATTTTAGTAATATTTGTATGCCATTATAATATCACTAATATTTTGAATTAGCTTTTTTAGTTTTCAATTAGATTTTAGTTTGAGTAAATTTGCTATGCTTTATAATAGTTAATATATGTTTATATATATAATATACGTTTTAGGTACCAATAACGGCACTGCTTAGAATGAAAGTCGATTGGGCAAGTCATACTAGAAGGTTTAAAAGCACAGATGTGCAGCTTGTATTGTGGTTAAAGCACTTACATCAGTTTTTCTTTCCATGATAACCAAATGTGAAAGTTACTGTCTTTCCAGATTTGCAGTATTGAAGTAAGTGATTCTATTAAGCTAGTGTCATATTGTCAAGTATAATGTGCATGTAACATTATGCAGTGTCCCCATTGTAAGAAAATTTACTTTTTTATTCTATTTTGTTAATAAGGTTAGTCAAAATTATTTTCTGTGGTAACTGACAGCATGTCACAAATGCTGGTGATAGAGCTTAAGTTGTACTGAACCCAAAAAGCTGCTTTAACCAGGGAGTTCTCAGAGAAAAAACAACAAGCATCACAGACACCAACATGCAGTGATGAAATTGCAATTCCAGATCAAAATAAAAGCTATAAGATACCAAAAGGAAAACATAGCATGCTTTCAAAAACATTGCTGAAAAAAGACACAAATCTAAGAAATAAATGTGGCACCAATTATTTTAAAATGAATATTTAATGTTCTCCATTAATATTTCATACTGCAAGAGAGAACACCACAGAGACAGATGTGGACTCACCAGTGGTCTGTCCCGATGTGTATTCACTGCCTCCACATTCAGATAAAACATCTCCACTTTGCAGCCTAAAACATGAACCAGAATGATCTGTGAGCAGAAGTTTGGCTATGAACAAACGTGAGGAAACAACTGTCCAACACACCATAAGCAACCGGAGTGAGCTTCATGACAGTATGAAGGGGACATTTCAAATAGGGCAGATCATCTATGAGAGAAAAGAAAAATAATATAAATAGGTTTCAGTTGACAGTCTTAAACGTTACTGTGATGCATTGATCATTATTGTTACTTATTCTGCTCAGTTATCGGTATAACTGTCTGATATAGATGAGGTATGAGATTTTTGTGAGAATGATTAGCTAGAATGGGTGAAAAAAATTACAAAGCAATCAGTATTTTTTATGGATCTTTTAGAAGAATATTAAAGAAACAATACTACATGAAAATACATTGCTAAATATATAATGCATTTTATAATATAGATAATTACTGCATTATTATTGCATTAAATTGATCAAAAGTCACAATTTATGACATTTTTAAAAACTTTTTTTACATTATTTATTTTCCGGGGTGAGGCCAGTGAAAATATCAGAAGGGTAAGCAAAAATCTCATGGTCAGCAGGAAAAAAACTGTTGTTTTTAATATTTTTCATAAGTGAAAATGCATCTTGCCTCCACTCTTGTCCAAGAAATAGGCTAGTAGGCAGCGCATAACTGCCTGGTGGCAGATGACTAGTACATTGCCTTGTCTCTCAAGCTCCATAATCACAGGCTCTAGTCGCTGAACCAGGTCCTGATACGACTGTGAGAAAAGAGAGTCTTTTAAAATAGTTAGACCAGAAACCAACAAAAACCAAACAACCTACTCAACTATAGAGAGTGAGAAGGGACATACTTTGAAGAACTGCAACAAAGAGATACGTTCATGACGTGCTGTACCTCTCCTCCCGGGTATCTGTAGTGGTATTTATCCTGATCCCTTAAAGCAAACTCTTCTGGGAATGTGTTCTGGATCATTTCGTAGGTCATCTCTTCACATACACCCTGTGTCAGAGCAATATACGCTGATGAATGTACATACAGTATAATACATATAAACTGCATGTAATCTCAGATGGGATCTTGGCATACTAACAGCATCTATCTCATTGAGGATTTTCCACTGTTCATACGGAACTCCCAGCTCTTCAGCCGTCTGGATGGTTCTTCTTAACTGGCTGGTCCAAACCTTCAAGTCAGACAGCTTATGCTCCTCAATGAACTCACGCAGGGCGCTCGCAAACTACTCGCAAGAGAAAGAGCAAGTCAAGCATCTTATGATGAATAAACGCTATGAAGGCAGCACTAAATAAGTCCAGACCTGTCTCCCTCGGGGGGAGAGTTCAGAATCTCCTCCAATGCGGCCCTGGACGTTGTGTTCGCTCTCTCCGTGCCTGCACAGGTAGATCGAGTGCGAGTGCACGTGGATGTTCATGAGGTAGTAGACGATCTTGCTCTGGATGTAGTCCTGAACACGGTTCACCAGATACCGACGACCCACATTCATCACCTTAATGAAGGACAAATCTCTGGGAAAAATAAGTGAATGTTATGATTAGGAAAGCCTTCTGTATGGGTGGTGCATGCTAAGCCATGAAACACTATAGACAAATAAATTTAGGTGTAAAACACATTATATAAACATATTTACATACAAGGTCTTAAAAGTAGCATCTTCTGCTTGATTATATAAGTGTCAGAGAGAGGGAGAGAAATGGTTCATAAGTGAAAATGCATCTTGCCTCCACTCTTGTCCAAGAAATAGGCTAGTAGGCAGCGCATAACTGCCTGGTGGCAGATGACTAGTACATTGCCTTGTCTCTCAAGCTCCATAATCACAGGCTCTAGTCGCTGAACCAGGTCCTGATACGACTGTGAGAAAAGAGAGTCTTTTAAAATAGTTAGACCAGAAACCAACAAAAACCAAACAACCTACTCAACTATAGAGAGTGAGAAGGGACATACTTTGAAGAACTGCAACAAAGAGATACGTTCATGACGTGCTGTACCTCTCCTCCCGGGTATCTGTAGTGGTATTTATCCTGATCCCTTAAAGCAAACTCTTCTGGGAATGTGTTCTGGATCATTTCGTAGGTCATCTCTTCACATACACCCTGTGTCAGAGCAATATACGCTGATGAATGTACATACAGTATAATACATATAAACTGCATGTAATCTCAGATGGGATCTTGGCATACTAACAGCATCTATCTCATTGAGGATTTTCCACTGTTCATACGGAACTCCCAGCTCTTCAGCCGTCTGGATGGTTCTTCTTAACTGGCTGGTCCAAACCTTCAAGTCAGACAGCTTATGCTCCTCAATGAACTCACGCAGGGCGCTCGCAAACTACTCGCAAGAGAAAGAGCAAGTCAAGCATCTTATGATGAATAAACGCTATGAAGGCAGCACTAAATAAGTCCAGACCTGTCTCCCTCGGGGGGAGAGTTCAGAATCTCCTCCAATGCGGCCCTGGACGTTGTGTTCGCTCTCTCCGTGCCTGCACAGGTAGATCGAGTGCGAGTGCACGTGGATGTTCATGAGGTAGTAGACGATCTTGCTCTGGATGTAGTCCTGAACACGGTTCACCAGATACCGACGACCCACATTCATCACCTTAATGAAGGACAAATCTCTGGGAAAAATAAGTGAATGTTATGATTAGGAAAGCCTTCTGTATGGGTGGTGCATGCTAAGCCATGAAACACTATAGACAAATAAATTTAGGTGTAAAACACATTATATAAACATATTTACATACAAGGTCTTAAAAGTAGCATCTTCTGCTTGATTATATAAGTGTCAGAGAGAGGGAGAGAAATGGTCATGTGGTCATCTTAAATATGTACTTCGCTTACAAAACATATATGTACATTCAGATACGCTATCATGTGTCTATTTTCTAAACATTCTTACTTGTCATATTCATCAGGATCTAGTGGCTGGTAAGTGACTTTATAACATTCTATGCGTTTCAGGAAATCATCCATGACTCGCTCTCTGTGTGTCTCTGGATAGTCTGGACTTGAAACCTTGACATCCTGAAGATATAAGAGCACATAGGAGACAACTGTTGAGAAGACCATAAAAACCTATACTGGTATGTTGCTGTACTTCATTATACCATTAGTTTAAAGGAAATGCAAACCAAACATCACAACATACCAGGATGTTAGCTGCAATAACCTCTGGATCATCACATACTGACTCCACAAAAAACACCTGTAAAAGTAAACACACAGAAATAGGAAAATGGTGACCACACGTCACTTTTACAAAAAGATAACTCATCATATAATGGAAGTTATACCTTGTATGCATTCTCCTGTATAAAATCTAATATAAGATCCCGCCTCTCCCGAGTTGTGTTTGTAGCATCAAATACCTTAAAAGGACAAAAACAGATTATAATAAATATAAAGAAGGAAGTCTTGAACCTTATCAACATTCTTAAACCCTATTAAGTTTAAGTAAATAATTGATGTGAACAGAGAAAAGGTAAATCCTTACAGCTATTTGTCCACCTTCCTCATTAAGGTAGGTCTTTACATCTTCCAGGGCCACCAAGGCACACTGTCTATTTGTGAAAATGAAAAATGCAACAATAGACATGTACCTAATTCAAATAAATTCAGTTCACAGGAAAAACATGAACAGTCCTGTTAGAAGTGCATTAATGTAACCTTCAGGAAATGTGTTGAAATATCTTTTGGTCTAACTGGTTTTCTTTAATTACATTTGTTTCTTGGTTTACTGACAACATGTACTTTTCTATCATTATTAACGTTGTAAAAATATCTAAACTGATCTTTTCTACACAGGACACTGTGTGAAAGTGAGCAGCCTGGACATTCTGCAAAACATCTCCTTTCATGTTTTCTACGGAAGAAACAATGTCATAAGGTTTGGAAAGACATAAGGGTGAGTCATGATGACAAAATGGTCATGCCATTAAAATCCAACAAAGATATAATCCTACTTTCGTATCTTCATGGCTTCCTCATTGTCATGTCTGAAGAAGTCATAAGACTTGTAGGCTTTAACTGCTTCCCTCCGATACACCCCCAGGTTAAACACTGCATGATAAACCAAAAAACAAGAAATTATGGTTATTCCTCACATACTTGATCAGTTTTAGCACTAGTGTAATGCATCAAGGTGACATCACTCTGCAAGTAAAGATGGAACAGTTCAATTCCAGTGTGTAAGGAACCTCTGACTTCAGTTACAGTGATTAAACACTTGCATTGTGGGTCATGATGTACTTAAGAGAGTTTGAGTTTCAGTGTGTTGGTTGCCTACACATTTAAATAATGCAAGTTCAAATTTAGCCACTTGATAGACCATAATGTCAAAATGGTCAGCTGAGAGCTAAATTAAGCATTTAAAATTGAAGACAGATGCAATTTATAGTCAGTGTCATTTGATATGATGCAACTGTCTAAATTCAACTGCCCACTCACCCTTTGTTGGAACTCCTATCCAGTTGAGGTAGCGTGTGAGTTTCTTTGACATATACGTCTTGCCTCTGGCAGGGAGGCCGATCATGACAATCATGGTGGGGGAGTTTGTCATGTAAGACGCCCATGCTGTGGTCAGACAGACACAGAAAAACAGACAGACGGTATCAACAGCACAACATGAGCTGGAGGAAGTTACAATCTATAGTACTAACAATTATAATCTGCCAAATGTAAATTTCACATATGGGACACCAACAGATACTTGTGGTTTATGGTACTTTCAACAAATGCACTACAAAATAGGACCTGAAACCCTGAGGCTGTTGACACCTTACTTACACTGAGGCAAACTCTTTGCTATTACTCCAGTCTTCAGTGTCACATGATCCTTCAGAAATCATTCTAATATCTAGTTTGGTGCTCAAGAAACATTTCTTATCATTAGCTATGTTTCCATCCAAAGATGTGAATTTAACTTGTGCGCAAAACTGGAATATCGCATAAAACATATGTTGAAAATCGAAAGTTAAAAATGGTGACAGTTTTTTTTCCAGGATTCTTTGATGAATATTAAGATCAAAAGAAAAGCAATTATTTTAAATATAATATATTGTAACATTATGAATGTCTTTACTATCACTTTTGATAAATTTTTGTCCTTTATGAATAAAAATGTATATATTTTTTCTTTCTTTTAAAAAAATCTTTTGAACAGTGGTGTATAACATATTAACCAGTCTAATTTAATTTAAGCATTGCATTTCTTTATAGACTATTTATAAAACAGTATGGTATCGATTTAGTTATTCTTCCAATATCTAGAAATGTGTTTTAAAATTACAAAAGAATGTCACATGCAACATGCAAATGAAATCCCTGGACATTTTTTTTTTAATAATAAAAATATTAGGTATTAAGAAAACATTGCCTCAGGTGAGCAATTTGATAATGACTGAAAAAAAAACAAAAAAAAAACTAGAATAATCCCTAAACAAATGTGCCTTTACCTTGATCTGCAATTTGAAACCAGCATACCAGACAATGCATATCTAAATAAAGGGAAGTGCTGTAGGTTTATTTCGAATCTAGACTGACAGTGAACTTCTGTGTAGCAGCCTCGGTGACAGCTGACATTAAAAGAAGGGCACCTGTGATATGACTCAGGGTCGTCGTTAAAATTCACTGGGTCAGGAACAAAACTGTTATGTGGGAAACAATCTTATCAGCAGAAAAGTACCCCCCAGACCTCTCTAACAGCCATGAAAACAGACTGCCATAACCAGCTGACCACCTTAGGCTGGTTTAAATAGGGATTCCTAACAGCTTCTTGATATGTGAGATGTGAAAATGTGTGTACTTACAGCATTTCTTCTCCTGGCCTCTGGGCTCTAATTTCGTGTCTTCAGCAGAACTGGTTGGACCAGCCTCCTGCTGCACCCATGCAGACATACTGAATCTGACAGACTTAATCACTCTCTCACTCACTCTTCCTGCTGTAAAAACATAGTGGACCTGCAGGGAGAAAGAGGCGAAATGAAGACAAAATACGCAGACTATGTCACTGGAAACAACGTTATTGGTTTATTACAAATAACTAACGACAATTAAAACATTTTCTCCATACAATATGCTCTATTCAGTGACAATGCAGCTTCTATTCTTGCCAAATCGTCGTTTTTCTTAATCACCCGCAGCGCAGTAACAAATAATGTCGCGCTACGTCATAACAGAGAAGAGGATGCTGAGGATACCATGTTACGTCATACCCGTAAACAGCAATCAGTCACTGATGGTCTATTACATCATAGAATGAATAGATTAAAAGAACACATTGAAGCACCATGACTATTAACGAGAATCGTAAAGCGTGAGACCTTACGGTTTCCTAATCGTTGTCTCTTGAACCTCAGGGGTCCGTATTTCATTCCGTACCCACCGCCAGGTGTAATGTCTTTGCGCAGGGTGTTGTTGCCTCAGCCGGTTTTGCACTTGATGACCTTCCATGGCAACTAGCGCCAAGCGCGTGAGTGAAGGTGTGTCTCTACGTCACTATTTACTTACCGTAATCCATGCGAAAGAATGAACTACACCGTCACCAAACATTACAGCGTACTAGTCAGTGGTGGGGAGTTTGAATCATCTCAGTGACTCGACTCTTTTGAATCAACCATTCATTCCATTCACGAAAGGATTCATTCAGTGGCACTTTCATCGTTACATCATAAACGACTTTTATAAAGCTATATAAAAAAAACTGTAATATCCTAAAGCAATAATAAAAGGTTTCAATAACGTCCATACGTAATTTTAACACACTTTTATGATTCGTTCACGAACTAAATTACATTATAAATTATTATAGCCAGTAATTACAGGATAGCAACAAAATCACCAAACCCACACTTTTGTTTGTGATAAATAAATAAAAACTAAAAATAAGATTTCATAATATTTATTTGAGTCGTCAGAAACATTAGATTCTACATTCACAATACTTAAATGCTATAAAAATTGTATTTGTGAAAACTCCTCCCACCCCAAAAAAGGTTTTACGATTACAGAAGTTTCTTATAGAAAGCTTAAAGTTTATTTTAATACAATCCCAGTAAAAAGTGCTCACTCCAAGAGCTTCAGTGTGCAAGTTTTCCAGTACCCTTTTCTAAAAACTCAAAACTTTTAATTCCATCACCCATTCAGCAGTTAACATATCCATGTCCCATACATAGCTTATCTAAAAGTACTGTTATATGCAATTATTCACAAGGCACATAGTGGTTCTGTTTTAAGTTGTTGCTTCCAGACCAGATAATAAACGTGCAGAGTATACATTTATGAAAAACAGTGGTCACTGGTTGGAACATAACAGCAAGCTGTTAAGTAGTTACAGTAAGGAAGTACATCAAGAAAACCTACTGCAGCATGGGTGTGCTTTACAGTTCTACAATTCAAATCTCAATGAGGAAATCTCAACGACAAAGTTGAGCTGAACACAGCTTTGCTCGGACTGGCCGAAGGCACAGGGTAGGGAGGAAAAGGCATGAATAAGTTTGGTCAGTAGATTTGCACAGTTTTTAAAATATAACTTGGTCATCTGGTGGGTTGTGCACAAGCACACTTAAGAGTCTCTCTGGACCAAGTGTTAAGGAGCTGGCAGTGTAAAGGCATCACATCAAGGTTTGATCTTCCAGAGCTGTTAAAAAAAAACATACGATGGATATTGTTAGTTAAAGATTGCTTGTATATGTTGTACTGCTGGATGATAACAGTCATATACAACAAAGAGTGAGCAACCCCCACTATCCTGATAACAGGAAGAAGTACAAAAGCGGTTATGACTTTAGAGTCATAAAAACACAGATCATCGAGATCAATAACTCCAGACATCTGCATTTCAGTGGGACAATAAAACAGACCCATGATACAGGTGGAGATAACCACTGTACTTAGAGCGCAAATGTTTCCCTCACCCGGATGTTGAACCCTAGTAAATCGCTGACAGCAGCTGAGATGGCTGACAGGATGACCACTCTCGTGATATTGTAGATGAGCGGGTTCACTGTCAGACCTAGCAGACGAAATGGAGTGTCCAGTTCCTGAAAGCAGCAAATGATTATCAATGCAAGCAAGGCATGTTTTATTATTTCCAATGAATGATGCTTTTCTGATAGTCTTACTTTTAGTAATTTTGTGGCCAGCCTCAGCACGTTGTTCACTATGTTCAGCTGATCCTTTTTGTTGGGTTTCTTCTCCATCTTAAGATACAAGTTTATCTGAAGCAGAAAGTTGATAACACGTTACAGTAAGGTTTCATCTGCTAACAATAGTTAATTACACATACTTCTAAAGCACTTGTTAATCTTAATGTTAATTTCAACATTTAATAATACATTATTTAAAAAAAGTCTGTTAATATAATTGTCCTGAGACAACATGTATTGAAGCTTGTTTCCAGTTTTCCACCACAGAATAATAAATAAAAAAAAAAAAGGTATTTGCAACTTCTTATCTCACAATTCACACTTTCTCATAGAAAGTCACAACTGCCTTTTTTATTTTTTGGCAACAAAAAAAAAACAACAACAAAAAACAGAATGCTGTTTTTTGTTTCCACCATGGAATAAAAAATAAAAAAGGTAATTGCGACATTTTATCTCTCAATTTTAAGTTTATATCTCAATTCCGAATTCATATCTCACAATTCAGACTTTTTTTTTTTGCAATTCTGCATTTATATCTTGCAATTCTGAGTTTATATCTCGAAAAAAAAAAGTCAGAATAGTAGAATATGAAATCAGATTGTGAGATTGTGAGAAAGAAGTTAGAACTCTGAGATGAGTTGCAATTACCTTTTTAATTTTTTTTTATCACATGGCGGAAAAAAGCTTCTATAAACATGAACTAACATGTACTAACTAATGAACTAACTTTTATTAACTAACATTAACAAAAATGACTGCAACAAATGTATTGGTCCTTGTTAGTTAAACGTTAACTAAAGGGACCTTATTGTAAAGTGTTTCCAGAAAATGTAATGGCACACAGCACACAACTCAGCTGTAAGCAATGCTGAAGCTATTTATTAGCGCCTGCGCAGTGTGCACGTGCGAATGGTTCACTTGTTTCTGAATAATACTGCCTCTTTGTTCTGTGCGGCTGAGATTTTTATCTCACCTGTTCAGTCAGAAGCACAGAAGCATTGCTATACTTTCGGTTGGTCTCAGCTCCGAGGGTAGCGAGGCGTAGGAGGAAAACCATTAGAGCAGCACACCAGACCATCAGCTCCCAGTTGGTCTCTGAATCCAGAAATGTGTGATGACTGTGCAAAAGCTGAAACACAATACCAGTTTCCTTCTCTCTATTAGACAGTCATATCTTCTAACTGATAATGTGCAGTGATATGATCTTTACTTTACCTAATCTAAACAATAGATGTCACTTAAATTGTCTCTAAAGATGACTTTATGGCACATTACTAACAGTCAGGAGCACATTTTATACTTACTACTATTCTTACTAAATCCAAATGGCGAAAAAAATTTTTTAAGACAACCAAAGTGATGTGTTATTTTAGTATTATTTATATATGATGTTTAATAGTTTTTGTGAACAATAACAACACTGCGAACAGCAAAGTATATGAGTTTCACGATTAAACCTAAAGTTGCAACAAAGAATATTAACGCTAGATAAAACTGAAGCAATAATTAATGTGCTGTGTAAGTTATAATTCAAGTTAAATGCCACATTTACTATAGCTTCAACGGTACAGCAGTCTCTTTATAAGGCGGGATTTAGGCATGTGACGGTATCAAATTTTGATGTTGCGATAATTGCTAAAGCTTTTATCACGGTATACGGTATTATCACGATAGTGAAATAATTTGCAAAAAATGTTGTCATAATATAGTATAACAGGTTTAACTGTTTCCTTCTAACAAAAAAGCAATACACAAAAATGTATAAAGTAAATAAATGTTTCAAACAGATTAAAGTGCAAAAGATTTATAAAGAATACTACTTTACAATAAGGTCTCATTAGTAAACGTTAGTTAATGTACTAACATTAACAATGAGCAAAAGCTATTTGTTACAGAGGTTATTATTCTTTGTTAAAAAATACAACTGTTAGTTCATGTTAGCTAAGGTCTATTAAATAATACAGCTACAACTTTTGATTTTAATATCATGCTATTATGTAAGATTGAAATTAAGTAAGATTAATAAATGCTTTAGAGATGAATTTTTCATTGGCAGTTTATGATAACTAATGATTTAACTAATGTTAACTAATGGAGTCTTAATGTAAAGTGTGACCGAAAAAAACAGAATCAAAAAATTTTCAAACAATATCTAGGGCATGTTGTAGTCCAGATTAAAATGTAAAAATGTTTGAAAATAAATAGCCTATTAAGTCTAAAGACCCGTTCACACCAAGAACGATAACTATAAAGATAACGATATTAGCGTCCACACCTGTGAACGATATCGTCTGTTTATTCTAAGCGCACGTGCGTCTGCCGCTTTAAATTCTCGAGCTTGTTACAGCATGATGGATTCTGATTGGCTGTCGATGTTTGTATCGTTCCATCAGCTGGAAAAAATCGTTCTGAAAATGATTCCAACGATATAATTTCTCTGTGCCTTTATCGTTATAGCTGTGGTGTGGTGTGGACTTTTAGAACTATATCTTTATCGTTATAGTTCTTGGTGTGAACGGGGCTTAAGGATTTAAATATTTGGCACTGCGATGAGCACCACTGCAAATACAAAAATCTGAATGGCTGTTTAAAACATTTAAATCCTGATCAGAAACAGAAAGTAGAGCAGCTGTTTTGTTCACGGGGTTACCAGGATAACGGCTGCATTTCTGCTGTTTCTTCAGCGCCATCTGTTGTCAGAGTGTGAATGTGTATTTTTATTCAGGGTGTCTCCTTCACTCATTCTGCCATGCACTTCTCATCCGTCTTGGGCTTGTTTACATCAGTGTATGCGTCTTTGATGCAGCATACTGTGGTGTTGTGCATTTTAACCAGTTGACGAGAAAGGTATTCTTACAATGCATGAAAAAATCGTAATAATTTCTAATAAATAATTATTCACAGCATTTTTAAGTGCCCACGATAACAATATTGTGCATGTCCATTACCGTGATATAGTATTACCGAATACCGGCACATGTCTAGCGGGATTATAGAAATAGTTACTGTTTTTGAGAACAAATGACATTGAAGGTAGAGCATATATGTAAATATGATTAGATTTTTTTGAAGGCAAACCTTGAAAAGACATGTCTAAAGGGTGTGTCAAAAACATTGTATGATAGAACAATAGCTGACCTGGGCACAGATGATGAAGGAAATAGACAAAGCCAGGAGGAAAATCGATGATACAATGACATCGACAGACCTCTGAGGGCCTCGTCTCTGTTAAACAGAAGAAAGAAATTATTAAATTGATATCTTCATATAGTGTCAACTAGCCTAGGTACATGTATCTTTAAACAGGACTATACAAATGTCACTGCCAGCAGAAACACCCATTTACTGTCATTTGCGCTTATATAAACAGACTGGTTAAACAAGTTGGATTAACAACATATAAAAGCAACCAAAGG